CATAGATAAACACGATAACAAATAAATTTATGCAATGTTTTGTTCTCTTAATAAAAAAGGAAACACTTAAAACAAATATAAATATCACAAATTATGCTTCATTATTACCAATTAGAGCTATCAAAGGAAAACATAGATCAACATAGTTATAGATAGATTTATGCAATATCCTGTTCGTTCTTAATACAAAACAAAATACAAGCAAAAATATGCACTTCGTTCTTAATATAGAACAAAATATGTAAAACAAATATAACTATCATAAAATAATGCTTCATTATTACCAGTTAGAGCTATCTTAGAAGAACTTATATCAACACGATAACAAACACATTTATGCAATATTTTGTTCTCTTGATACAAAACGAAATCGTAAAACAAATATAAATAACATAAAATTTTATGCCATTTAACATGGATTCACTTTTAAGATTCACCAATTAAATAGCATAATTTAATAATTCCAAAACTGGAAAGTAGATGTTTTGGCTTTCTGTTTGTATCTTAAATAACTGTTTTAAATTAGCCTTTATTGTAGTATTCATCCTTTCACTGTTGGCTCTGAAACTAAAGCAGTACCTTAAAAGTTGTTAGAAAAGCTTACTTTGGCAACGATATGATGAAAAATTAAAGGAAACTTTTAAGTTAGACGGCACTTTGAAAAGCATGGGAGCCGGCTCTTTTATTTTAAGTAATTTGTTTAACACTTCAAAGAAAACTTCTTCAAACTGTTTATTATTTTTAGTTGGAGGTTTATTAGTTGGAGGCAAATTCCGTAACCTATTTATTGGTTACGTAATTTGAATATTCACAAAGCAAATAAGGATTATTTGTTTTTTGGGATGAAAGCCTTCGTAGATGATTTTCTAAGAGAAACTGCCTCGTAAATACTTTATAAGGACTAATTCGTAGTCTAGCTTCTAGTGTAATCGTTATTGCTTATCTCCCTGCAATACTAAGGTCAGACTGCAGTTTCGTTTTAATTGTGGGACTGCATAACTAAGGTCAGACTACAGCGTCTTTTTAATTCTGGGACTTTTTTATGTTTTCTAATTAATTTTTAGCCCAAAGTGGCAGTTCGCCCAGAAAAGCTAATATCATTTTGGCATTTTGCGTCGTCCATTATAAAACGAAGTCCCATTTTTCATTTTGTTGCCACAAAATGTTAGAGCCCTGCATTATATTTAAAGAAATAATGAAGAATCATGAATGTATGCATGTTTCTCGCATCGTAAAAAAAAAGTTACCTAGAGACATCAAAATTTTAATAACGTAGTTCTCCACACGAATATGGGTATCTGGAAGCCCAAATTTGGAATTTGTTCTATTATCTATTTCATATTTTGTAAAACTTAAAAAAATTTGGTTAACAAACTCAACGATTTCCAAGCGAACAATGGCAACACTGTAGGAGAAAAAAATTTTTCTCCAGAGCGCAAGACTTCGTATCGCAAATTCTAAAGGTATGCTCTTTTTAAATAAGAATGTGTACATAATAAGATATTGCTATTGAATTAAATTTTATGGTTTAAGTACGAAGAACATGATATTTAATAAATAAGCTAACAACACACAAACGTTAAAAAAAGTCTCTTTGGTCGTAATATAAAATCTGAATCTTTCAGATATTTTTTAATGTTTTAAAACATTTTGCCCTTTTTTATCTTTATTATTAAGCAACATTTTCTCGCATTTACGCTATATACATTTCAACAGCAAAATTACAAAAATTTTAAAATACCGTTTAGAATTCCCGATGCAGCATAAGTGTTTGGGCATACACTGTTTTTTTTTTTTTTTTTTTTTTTTTTTTTTAATTTTGAGCTTTTAATGATAAACTCTTCGAGGAGTTAAACTGCAATTAGTTGTTACTTGAAACTCTGAGGTTGCCACTCATCCTTTCTCCATTTAACATATATTATTGCCTGCACACATGTGATGGCAATTTTGACATCATAACAGCTGAGGGGATCTAGTACTTATCAGAGAAAAAATCGCTGAATGAATGCAGAGAAAATTAGTGTAACAGAGACTAATATTTATTTCCATGCAATTTGTACATCCGTTTATTGATGACTTAGCTTCAGCACAGCTTCGAAACTATGATTCGTTTCTACGATTGACTCAATCATTTTTACCGAAAATTGTTTAGTATTTGATCAGTAATGGTTTGTGAGGTACTTCACACCCTTAACCTGGACCTCTATCTCCATTTCTCCTTGTATTCTGAAATCGTTTGACATTCCTAGTAGCTAATATACGATAAAACGAATAGAAAATATTTTTTCGTTATGGCTTTATATTCTTAGATTTTTCTACTCATAATAGGGCCCTAAAGATTGTTGAATTACTTTTGCTGGAAAAAACAGAGTCTATATTTAAAAGAAAGAAAAAGTTTCAACTCTTTCTTTTTTTTTCTATCTCAATGGAATTATTCAATGCTGTTTGCAAGTTGAAAACATTGCAACCACTGATTTTAATTAAAAACAATTAATTTTATCGAAATTCTCTGCATTCGAGGATCTTGATATGGGTACCCCTTCTTCGAAGAATAAAAGTTCTTAGTATTTTGTGCTTAGGTATTTCATACCACTTAGTAGAAGTCGCCAAATTTTTATAATTGCCAAAACTGGCAACATCGTATAACCATTCTTCAGGCAACCTTACTTCAACAATTGTTTAGTCACAAAGTCACTATTTTTGTATACATTCTTGTTCTTTTACATGACAATTTTCCTTAAATGTCTCCACAAAGGCTTTATTGAAGTCGAAAATAAATTAACTTGATTTTCGACAAAACAGGGACTTTTGTTAAATGAAAGTTTTAGATTGCTATTTTCATCTTCATAAAAGAGATTCATTAAATAAGGGCTTTTAATAGTTAAGTACCTAGTTTGAAAATTACATTAATTGCTATGTGTGGGATTATTTTTCTACATATTTTCAGCTTTTGAATGCTTTAAGTTTCCTTCTTGCTTTATTGGCAAAAAATTATTAATTAATCCAAACATACCAAATATAGAGGTAAAAATATTCCTCATTCCTTCTTGCTCTTATAAATCCTTATGAAAAACTTTTAATGCCTGAAAAACACATGTCTGCGATACTATCATCATGTGATAATTTGTAGGTGCTTTATTTTTTACAACAATATTTTGCACGATAATGTTTTAAAACCGCGATATTTTTTTAACCATTTTATTTTCGACGACGATGTGCCACGATGTTTTAGAACTCAGATGTTTTCTGCTTGCTTTCTTTTCCCCCGCGGTACTTTGTACGACGACGTGTTTGCCTTATGCAGTTTCCTACGCGTTGTCTTTGCCGCGACGATTTCGCCAGTGACCTTTTCTGTTACCTTCCGCGATCAGTCGGGCAGCTGATGGATTCCAATAACAGAACATTTTTCTACTTGCGAAGCGATGAGGTCATTAAGTCTATTTTGGACTTCGTCAAATTTCCGAACGTGTATAATAAGCAAAGTGCTTTGCGGTGGTCGGAATAAGCGATTTCCAGTCACAGCGGGTTTTGCTTGTAGTGATCATATTAACAATTTGATCCTATTCAAACAAGCACATCGTTCATTAGCCCACTACAGCTTTTTTGGTGGAACTATTGCATTTGTTTATTTTAACTATTGATTACTACAAGTAGTTGCTGTTGTTTGAACTGATCATCTTAACAGTTTGATCTTGTTCAAACAATTCGCAACAGAGCACATCCTTCATTATCCCACTAGAACTTTTTTGGAGGGAATATTGCATTGGAATGTTGACGTTAGTACTGTACTAGGATCTACTCAATATTATTACCGTATTTACTCGCATAATAGTCACACCCCAGGGAAAAATCGTCAAAAGGTGTATGATACTGTGCAGCAGATTTCTTCGCATAATAATCGCACCTAGACTTTCACAGTGAAAAACTAGAAAAAAAAGGGCAACTATTACGCGAGTAAATGTAAATACGGTATTCTCTTCGCTTAGAGCAATCGTAATATGACCACTTTTCATTACTTATCAGCATGTTATGAAAGACTTTCTGTGTTGTTAAACAGATTCAAATAATACGGGACATTTTGGACCTTTGTAACCATTTCTCTGAGCTCAAGTGACAATCATCTTCCTTCTTAATTCTTTCTATGTCACACAGACAAATGGAAACGGTTTGTTAAGTTACTTCAAAGTTTAGTTATTTTAAGTTTAAAAGTTTAGTTAGTTTATTTAGCGAGTTTTTCGTATTTGGAACAAGGTTTCATTAAAGGAACTTTCTGTAGGGCTCTATTAAGTTCTAGATTTAGCACCAAATCAACCAATTAAAAATTGTAAACCTAAATCTTTCACATGATTTTCCATTCGATAGTCTTCTAAAGAACAAAACAGTTTGGTTCACATACATGATCTCGCAGCCAGAGCCGGAGGTAGACATTTTGCCGCCCGATGCAAAGTCTGCAGCTTCTAAATTCTGCCACCCGGTTTCTTCCTAAACTCTAAAAGTCTTGACAGGAACTATTTAGACAATGAAAGTTTATCAGCTCCTGCAAAATTATTTAACATTTTTATTTGCTGAAAGACTATTTTTATCTCTCTAAAACAACCTTTTATAATATAATTAGTAACGTTCTATGAAAAATAATGAACTTCAGCTTGAATTGTGGGATGTGCAAGAATATTTGCACAGCATTGTCGATAGTTGTTGGTAAAAATTTAAGTATTATTTGCTTCACTTATCAATATAACATTCGATATTGTCATAGATTACTTACTATTATACAATCCACCATTCTCATTGTTCGGAGAATCATTTCATTGCCAATGTATCATAGCCAATGTATCATTGCCAATATGTCTTTGCCAGTCCAAATATGTCTTTGTCTACAGCAAAAGACATATTTATATCCTTAAGCAAATACATGATGTTATATCTATAATATAAATCTTTTTACATATTCTGAACTCATGTCAACAATTTATATTACTTGATAAATTCTAATTAAATTTCAGGTGTCCTAGGTTCTATGGCAAGTCCCAATGATTCGCCGTCGTACAATACATCCGCATGGGGGATGTGCGGCAGTGAACCTTCAGGTATGTTACGGATTTCATTCCCCTTCATACATAAATCAAATACTAGATGTTCAACAAAATTCGTTTGCATATGAAATAGTTTTCGTTGCTTTGCTCGTTGTTGCTGGGATCTTGTTTGAGTGGAGTTCCGATCGTACTGTAGTTCTAAAATTAAAAGTCATTCTGCGCATTTAAACTGTATTTTAAAAATTATATTAAGCAATAAAAACTTTTTTCAGAGAGAGCGCTGAAAAACTTGCTATCAACCACGGAATTTAAGTGTCTCTTCTTAATAATATACAAGACATACAACATGTAGGTACAGTGACGGATAAACTGTAAGTTTATTTTACAAAAAATATTGTATTTATGATAATTTCAGTTTTCGTATTCCGTTTCCAGACTTCTGTTAACTGCAAACGAATCAAATTGTTATGCTTAGTAAAAAATACATTTCCAATTGTATCTTTAGTCACAAAGTGGAAAAGATACCCAAGAATGATCTGCGAATCCTCCTGTAAAGGATTCGTAATCGGGATGATTTGTAGAGACATTGTGTTATGTCGAAGCAGGAGAGAGGAAAATGAGCAATGCCCCCGCCGGGACTCGAATCATGGACTATTTCGAATACGCGCCGAGCGTGCTGACCGCGTTCACATAACCGCGCCGAGCGTGCCACGAAGGCAAGCTAAGACGGGAGAAATAGTTTGTTCCTTAAAAGGAATTATTATTACACTTAGAACTTCAGCTGCACCACACAGATGATTCTGTTTCTTTGAAAATTAAGCCGCAAAAACCGAAAACATTACACCGGAAAGCCTTTTATCAGAATGAACACTAATATTTTCCGTTTGTAGTATCATCAACAAAGTAGTTGTGAAATCTCAAGTATTACACCTTTCTATAATATATGTAGATAGGATAAAGTTAAAGGCTGAAGGCAAAGATGGATTGGAATTAGGGTCGTTAACTAGAACAGAAAATTTTTTTTTGAATGTGAAATGCAATTCTGGTTTCATCAACAGATGGCGCCAGTAGCTTATCTCCTGTTGAGGCTTTCTTATCTTATCTCGTTCATTTGCGCTTTTGCAGCTGAGGATGATGGTTCGGTAAAACCATCGAAACTAGTCCTGTGAAAATTTGAAAATATAACGCTGATTTTTGTTGTTTGACTTCTAAATTGATATTTGTTCGGCGTGTTATTGTATCTTAAGGATAAAGTTTGTTAAATTTATGATTTGCTTACCTTCAAGGATACGCGAAGGATTTTTAAGGAATTTGCAATTAAAAATTGCAGAAATTTCGCAAGTTATTAAAAGAACCCAAAGCCCCAGAAAATTTTTGAGACAACTAATATGAAATATACTTCTTCATTATCTAAAAATTTCTTTGTCAGCAAACAATTAATAAACTATTGTTTATAAATATATTAGTAATTATGCATTTAGTTTTTTCTTTTGAGTTTTCTAAATTTAGCATTTAAAATTTCAGTTATCATTCTCTGTTTCATGCATGTAGCTTGGTATTTATATTTGCATAGGTAAAGCAATTTTGCTAAACCGAATGAGTTCATTAGTTATAGTGTTTAAACCATATTAGGGCAGTCTTCTACTTGAATACAGAACATGCAGAGCACGACAGGTTCTTTTCAATTAAGGGATTTAAATTTGTGAATCCTATACATTGTAGATTTGGAGAGCTTTAAATCTGTTTAATGCATTTGTTCCTAAAACATAATTTTTCGTTATGCTATAAAACTTCTTAATCATTATAATTATATTATTAAAATTATAATTAAATAAATTATTAAAATAATAATTTTAATTAAATATTATTAAAATATTATAACATATTAGTCAAATAAAAGAAGCACTTTCGTCAAACATAAGTACCAAATATAGATAAAAATCTATATTTAATTATAACTGTTCCAAATATTCTGCTAAGAATCAAAAGGTTGATCTAAAGGCCTAAAATTCTCACTTTATGACGTATACAGAGAAAGAAACCGTGTATTTTTTTTTTTTAAATATATAGAATACTCTGGGTGCATTTCCTGTTTCTATATTTCTAGGATTCATATTTAAATAACGCATTTCTTTCCATACATAGACTATATCGAGGTTAATACTCATAGTAAAACACACATTAGATTAGTAGGAGGTTAATACTCATAGTAACACAACAGCCCGTTTGCCTTTTTTTAACACTTATACAATAGATTTATATTTCTAAGATTCGAAAATGACGTGCTGATTACCTAGAGAAGCTCTTAAACATTTTTGCGTTACATACTCCCAGGAAATGTTCACGTAAGAAGCGAATTTCTTACAAATGCAGTAGGTGAAGTTGGATTATTTATCATATATCAAAGCTGTAAGGGCAATCTGGCTAAGCAGAGGGATGCCTTCGCGGGGGACTCCCTGAGATAAAGTGGCTCATATTTACGTTATACATGGGAAATACCACGAAAATCAACCATACCAACAGCCCGTTTGCCTTTTTTCGAACTCAGGGCAGGGCAAACTACAGTATTCAGCAAACATAAACCTACGTTATCTCATTCTCTTGCAGACTGGATTCTATCTTTTGGTCTTGCAGATTTTGTGGCAGTATTGGAATCTTGGCAGAGAAGCTTAGACTATCTCAAAGATTTTCTGTTGTGAACAGGTCTGGCAATACGGCGTGCCAATGCATAGTCTCTATGACTGCAAGGCAAACCTTGAGGTGGCAGAAGTATGAAGACAAACGTTTTCCTGTTCGAATTGAGTACTGGTGCTGGCATTCACTGACAGCAATGCTACAAGTCGATGGACTTCATCCTCGTACCACTGAGCTGTCAAAGTGCACGTGAAGTAAGACCAGTGCTGATTAGGCATCATAGAAAATTGCCTTCCGTACCACGATGCCCATCCATTTGGAAGAGTGAAGCACGACAACGAAACGATTACCTTAGCTCTGATAAGCGCTTGTGGTTTCACACAACATTAATCAAAATTATGCTTATCGGCATGATCTTTTATACTGTAGTAGGTACGATAATAAGCTTGCCTTTGCTGATGAGTGTGAAATTCGAATCATTTGCCTATGTAACAATAAGGAATATCTATGCTTGATTTAACGATTTCATTTATACAGATATTTTCCGTGTGTGTGCAACTTTTTCGGTTGTTGTGGGTTATGAGTGTATTTACTCCGAAAGTGAAAACCACTTTTATTGTTTTTCCAAATACATAAAGTCTTCTCACTTTATATCGACACGAAACAAAGTTTGGACATTTCCAATAATTGGTACTTATAATTTTCCTATTTTTTGCTTTTCCTTTTAGTAAAAGTTGAACACTTAGCTGGTACCGACGGATCTCATCTCGATTCTGGATACCCAACCACAGATTCTTTAGCGAATTATACAGGTAAAGCAAAAAATATCCATATGTTTTAATTATATTCTATAAAAAGTTATTATTTCCTGATTTTAAAATTTCTACTTAATTCGTCCTTGTTTTTCAGGTGATATAAGTTCAAGTAAAGCTGCAGCGCTGGATTTTACAGGTTCCTATCCATCATCCTATTATAACAGGTAATCATCTGAAGTTAAAACTACTTATTCAAAATAATTAATTTAATAATTATTATTTATTATAATTTGATTAGTATGCTTATCGGCGAAAACGAGCATAGGTTTATTTGTTAACTTTTAATTTTTAACTTTAGTCAAATAATGCCTATATAACGCCTTGCTTCTAATCTATTGCCTAAGCACAAATTTGGATGCAAAATTTAAGAGCAGTAGAACTCCAATGGTACTTACGTATTAGCGCAACCACCTTGGCGCAGTTTGGCGGTTTTTGCAGGGCAAAAAGGGGATTCGGTGAATTTTCGAACTGTAACTTGCAATGGATATAGTTAACTAAAGAACTATTATACACCTGGTTGCCAGAGTTAGGCGACCTCTAGTAAAGTGCTTGCGATAATACGTAAGTATCATTCCAATTACTCTAACTGTAGCTATTCGGAATCCTGGTTATTTTAATCATCATTCGAGTACTGCAGCTTAATTCATGCTTTCAATAATTTATTTGCATATTTAAAATTTTTTTGCTGATTTAAGTAATGCTAAGAGATAAAATATTATAATATACCTATAATAAGAAGCTATCAGATTAATTTAAATAAATCTGTATGAAATGATTATCGTCATTTATTAAAAAGTAACCTTTTGTGATGCAATAAAAGTTTCATACAAATTTATCTCATTGAATTTAAGACTATGTCATTGCAAACAGTCACATAGAGATATGTAGCTTAGGTACATTAACAAGAAAACAGTTGTCTTCTGTACTCTTACTGTTCCTTGACTGTTTCTCACGTTTTAGGTTTAGGTTAAACTTAGTTAAGTATTAGCTAAACTATTTTGAATCTTCTTGTGCTTCCTACAAATTCTTGTCTTTGCTATTAACTAGAAATCTGAAAATCAAAGAGCACGAACAAAAGAGAAAAAGTAACTAAAACTTCTATTAAATCACGTTTTACAGATTCAACAAAAATTTAAATAACTCTTTCACTATTTTTAAAGGGTCTTAGAAATATAATAACTTAAATGCACATGAAAACAATATAACTTCAATTAACTTGAATCCAGCTATTCTGGAATTCTAGCGTTAAGCACTAACTAATTAAAACAAATACTCACTAAAACCAAATTGGCATACAGGAGAACGGCTCGTGAAAAGCCTGCTTGCTGGTGCGTTCAAGGGTATCTCTTTATATTTAATCTAATTTACGTCTAAGGAAAGGCTTGAGAGTAGTGAAAGTTAAAGGAGAGAATTAACATAAACACAACATGATAGGTAAAGTAAATCTTACATTTGCTTATGTTTCTTTTTCTAAAAACGTTTTTTTATTGAATTTTAGTTAAATAGAAACAGATAATGCATTTTTGAATCACATAATTTTTTAAAAATTTTAGTTAACAGTGAAATACATGTAAAAACTGTGTGTGCAGTTTAAGGTCTGTGAAAATAAAAATTATATTAGCAGAAATAGATTGTGTGTCTAGGCGAATAAAAACAATTCCGTTGTTCACGTTAGTGTTTTGCATTTTGTCTAATAATGTATTTTCCAATTTTTCTAATGCGTACGTTTGCCTTTTGCCTAGTAGAAATAAAACTATTTTACCCTGTTTAACGCTATAATCTTTTCAGAAACAAAATAGGATAAATGACAAATGAAATTGCCACGCTTGTATTTAAGTAAATAGGTATTAGGCCAACAGAGTAAACAGGTATCATGATGAATAGGTATTAGGCCAATTCGATATTCCGGAATTCCAATCATCCGTATGGTCTGCTGTCCCTACATTTGGACTTCTATTGTATTATTGTCTTTGAACTATCTACTATCTATAAGATGAACACTTACTAATTTATAAATTGTTAGCACAAATAGATTAATGGCGAGGTGTAGATGGTAGCAGTTACTAAATTTTAAAGTGGGACCCTTAACATTAGGCAAAAAGCTTAACATTAAGCAACCTTAGAATGACATCAAACTGGAATAAAACTCTATTGTTTTCTAGAATTATCAGATATTCAGATATAAGTTTCTTTTCTTCAGAAGCAAAATTTTATCAGTAGTTTTGTTACACATTCGCGTGTTTTTCACGTAATTTGATCGTTCAGTATCAAGCAGCATTTTTGTGCCTGTCTCAAGGTTGCTTTTTTTAACTAATTTTAAATTTTACCTCGGTGCGCTTCTGTTTTACTTAGTAGAAATCTTAAATTTAGGTAGGTGTAACCTAAACAGTAGTAATACTCTTTCATCAAGTAATTTTACTGATCATTTAGTCGTAAAGTTTGGTTTTGGTAACATAGACTAAAGCCAAAACTCTAAAAAAGACAATATGCGAATTATCGCTATGTTTTGTAAATACCACAAAGACAAGGAAAGGGTGTAAAGAACGCTTTTATTAATTACAAACAGTCACATACTAGAGATATGTACCTTAGGTACATTAACAAGAAAACAATTGTCTTCTGTACTCAGGTCAAACAGTCGGCACCAACTCGTGCTCATAGAAACCAACACTTTTGGCTTAAATCATAGATAATGGAGAAACTTAAAATTAATGAAGTTAAGCATTGCCTAACGGTTTCACAATTAAATTAGCGAGCAAGTTGGCTGTGAGTGAAGTGGACGTAAACAAGCCTAATGGAAAGAATAACTCAATGCTGCAGAACTGCTAGAGAATCAAAGTTAGCAATGTGGCCTTTAAGCAAGCAGAAACATGCTCTGATTTCTGCCTCCAAAACTTTCCTTTAAATACTTTCTTCTTTCTACCTAATTTGAATACCTCTCGCGCGGTAGAAATTTGCATTCTGGCTTGAAATTAAAACAAAGTTTGATATTAAAGGGGGTTAACATAAAATAATGGTTATAAAATTAAAATATGTGATTATGGCAAAGCCTTGAGGGCTATCTGCCTAAGTGGAGGGATGAATTCGTGGAGGACTTTCTAAGTGAAACTGGCTCCTATACACGTTACACATGGGGAAAACCAAGAAAACGCCCATGCAGACAGCCAGTTCGCGGGATTCGAACCTGGGACCGAACTACCAGTGTTCAGCGACTTTACCGCTCGGCCGCTGGTGGGCATCAGTAAAGTTAAAATGACTTTAAATGGGCTTTAATATTAAAGCAAATAATATTAAAAATTGTACATTTTATTCACAATTAATGTCGATGAAAAGTCGCTTAATTCTCTCATAAAAATAAGATGAAAAAGAAATCTTCTCTCGTTACATCATCGGGAAAAATTTGGCATTATAAAATCCTTATTTCTTTAAATAATCTGTAATTTAGATTATTATAAAAGTGAAAAAATGGGACAAAGCCAATCATTCTTTCCATTAATGGCAAATCTGAGCAATATTTTAATAATTCTTAAAAAAGAATTGTCCATTATTAAACCAGAGTTCATTTTTATAATTTTCTTTTGTAAAATAATAAGTAGCGTGAATTTTTTCTAGTCTAATATTTTTGAGAAGCTTTAATTATGTATCATTTATTAAATTTAGTGATTTTGTTTTGAGCAATACTTCTTAAATAATATTTTTACACAATATTCCAGGGAGTCTAAATGCAAGTGAAATAGTAATACAGTAGAAACTTTAAATGATTTCAGGCAATCGAATCCAATGCAAATAGAATTTGATCCATGTAAAATCAGATCTTCTGATTTTACATGGACTTAGTTACTTACGTACATAATTCTGATGCAAGCAAGTGAACTGAAGAGAACAGACAAAAAGCAAAGCAATTAAATTTGCTAAGAAATTAGTGTACACAGCCTTATAAGACTAAAAAGTATAGTTAAGGAAAGCAAAAAGAAGTATTTAGTTTCTAATTATTTACCTTTATTCTAATTACTTTTAGGTATATTCATTCATGTGTAACAACACTTTAACATCTTAAAGAATAATAATGTAAAATGCGCTTTCTTTATTGTCTCCATTTAATTTGTCTACCGCGAGAATTTCAGTCCATCGATCGCGTAGCGATAGTCCTCTTTAATCACCTGTTTGAAAATTCATTCATTTAACAAGTCAAACATTACTTAGAACAGCAAAACCTCAGCTTTAAAAAATGCTCTTAATTCTCGATAATACTCCAGGACATTTAGCGGTAAAGTAGCTGAACACTGGTTGTTTGATTCGCGTACGAATCCTAGATCCCTGGCTGCAGACGTTTCCGTGGTTTTCCCATGCCATGCGTAACGTGAATACCAGTCAATTTCCCTTAAAAAGCCTTCCGCGGGGCTTTCCTCCTTTCGATGGATACCATTGTGTAGATAGATCACTGTACGGAAAAAAAAAAAAAAAAAAAAAAAAAAAATTACATTTATTTGCATTAAAACAAATTTAGCAGATCTAAATAATATTCAAAACAATGAGATCCTTATGTAAAAATTCTCCCGAATGTTAAATTAGTGATTTATGTATAAATAATTATATTTCTATTTAATGGTGATTTATATTTTTATTAATGATTTATATGTAATGAAGATAAATAAGTAATTAATTACATGACAAACAATTAAGCCTATTTTGTAACTTTTATTACACATTGTACTCAAAATGCTTAAAGAAAAATAAGCAATCAGAATTAAATTCTTAATTTTATTTGGGCTTTAATATTAAAGCAAATAATTAAAAATTGTACAGTTTATTCAAATTAACGTCGATTGAAAAGGCTCTATAAAAATAAGATGAAAAAGAAATTTCTCTCGTTACTCATCGGAAAAATTTTGGCATTATAAAATCCTATTTCTTTAAATAATCTGTAATTTAGATTATATAAAAGTGAAAAAATGGGACAAAGCCAATCATTCTTTCATTAATGGCAAATCTGAGCAATATTTTTATAATTCTTAAAAAAGAATTGTCCATTATTAAACCAGAGTTCATTTTTATAATTTTCTTTTGTAAAATAATAAGTAGCTTGAATTTTTTCTAGTCTAATATTTTTAAGAAGCTATAATTACGTATCATTTATTAAATTTTGTGATTTTGTTTTGAGCAATGCTTCTTCAGAAATAATATTTTTTACAATTATTATTTTTGTTTTTTATTTAATGTATATTTACATTTTTGTTTTGCCTAGTTACCTATTGATTCATTTATTGAACTTTACGGAATATTGCAGTTATTTTACGTCTTGTTATATGTTTCAAATGAAATTGTTTGAAGTAATTTAACTGACAATAAAGTATTTCATTAGTAAAATAGTTGTTCTGAGCTATGACATAGCTCATATATACATGTATGTATATACGCACATGTATTTTAATACTTTAAAAAAATTTTAACAAAAGTATGCTGCAGTATATTTTAATAAATATTCAAGTCTCGCTTTTTTACTCCGAAATGAATTTTGGGAGAATTTAATTGAACCTGATATTTAATATTTAAACTCTTTTAGTTGTTGTAACTTTTCTCACTTGCCTGACGGTAACATCAGAACAAGTCCACGAAATTAATCGTGGCAAGGAGTGCAAAACTGCGCCTGTCGTTGGCAAGAGCCGTTGAGCCCCGTGGTGCGACGTCGCTCAGTCCCCCTTCCCAGTTTCGAGGGACAGAACCCATGGAGGTAGGAAACCTCCATGACAGAACTTACTTCCTACCTCCGTGACAGAACCGGGGGGACGGATTCGAGTGTCTCTCCCTCTTTCCCTACCAGCAACCTCACGAGAGGCCAGAAGCTCGCTGCATATTTAGAGTGCTCCCATGCCACACAGACACTATACATTTATAAACATCCATGCCTTCTCCAGGATTCGAACCTGGGTCTTTCGGTACGGCAGTCAGCATTGCTAACCATTATCATAGTTCTGCGGCACATTTTTAGTAAATCATTTGAATCAATTTTCACTTGATAATTAATGAATAGTTAGAAAATTTTGCCGACTGTTATCTTAAAAATTTCGAGTTATTTAAATATTTTCTTCAAAAACGCATATTTATAAATTATCTATTTTCTGAATATCTTATCAATTAAATATCAAGGGTTTTTAGACAAGTAAATGAGATAATAAATAATAAAGAAAATATTAGAAATTCAGTGTTCAAAATGCTATCATTATTATTAGTTATCCCATTTATTATCTTGGAATTGTTTCAAAATAACCATTATAATAGTGTAGCGTATATTTAAAAGTATTGCTGTTTAAAATATTTGAGATCATGTAGAGTATTTTATAAAACCATTATTTAATTAAATATAACTAAGTACGCAAAGTCTATCGAAGAAGGTAAAAAAAGGTGCCTTCGTGAAAGATTTCTGAAGAAAACCTACTTACATTATGCACGAAGGAAATGTTAAAAGCAGCACCCTCGTGACCAACCCGAACTTCGATTGAAGTGTTTAGTAGTTTTATCCACTCCGCCACTAGCAGGCCACTTTATATGAAAATTTATATAATTTTATATGAATCTGAATTAAATCAAATATGATGCATAGTAGATGTGCTTTTATGACTAAAACTTTTCTTTTTTTTTTTTTCAGCAGCATGCAGGCCTATCAGCAGTTTGGAGCTCAAAATTCTGCCTATTCTATGCAGGCCGCGTCTAACTTTTACAATCAAGCCAGCCAAGCCACTTACGGAGTTCTGTCCCAATCTTATGGCGTTGCAGGTATGCAAATTTGTCTACTTAAAGTGCAGTTACTGAACATAAAATCATTAATCTTCGGAAATATTTCATTTAATAAAATAAATACAGTTCATTTACAGTTAGCTATGAAAATTATAAATACAAATCAGAAGATTGAAAAGTGCAATTTAGTCATATTCTTTGTTCACCTTTAAATGTATCAAAATATAGTTTTATGATAAAAAAATCCATTATTGTTTTTAAATAGTACATCCTATTTAAAAACAATAATGGATATTTTTTAAACTTTATATTTAATAAGTAAAATTAAAACTTTGATATGTATCTATGTGATTAATAGCATTATTGTCATTTTGTATTAGAGAAGGATCTATATTTCTAGCTTCTATTCATTTTATTGGTATAACATAACGCGTCATTTCGTACTAAATTGGTGACGCTCCATACTATTTTCTGCTTAATAGTTTTGCAACAATACCGCTTAATTCCATTAGAGGAGTTGCAATCGATTGGCAAACCGGCTAATGGTAAATTTCAACCTCTAATGGCAATTAATTATTTATTTTTGAAGTAAGGACAAATTTATTTGAATTAATATGCTGGCATAATAAGAAACATTTTACCGCATAGAGTGTAAAAAGTACAATTTTCGCGAAGATATGATTGTGCGTGAAGATGTATTAACGGATAAAAATGGCGCGATTTTAAGAATGCCGAGAAAACATCCAATATTAAAATACGATGCATATCCATGCATATTTAACGGCTGTTCAATACATATGACAATTGCAATTGCAATTTGCCATTAGAGGTGTTGCAATCGGTCTCACATATTACTGTAGACAGTCATAACTACAAAAGTCTGGTTTTGGGCTTTCAAACTTTTAAGACTTCATTATAGTGCATATATCTACACATACACATATGAAGAAAAGATAATAAATTATAATATAAAAATATACAAAGCGAAATTCTAATTTTAAATGGCAAATAGTCCCTTATTTATTTTCATTTTAATTTGGTTCCTTCCCCTTTCTATCCTAAACGTTGTAACTATTTATAACATATCAATCAACACTGCATCATTTCCATATTAATCCACATTATAATATCTTACGTAACGCTGCAATGCAGGTACCTCTTATCCCAATTTACTGAAACCAAAACTTTTTTTTTTATCTCTCCCATGCTTTTTCTGAATGCCTCAAACACATTTCCGCTTCATTTCTGAAAACCAACACTTCGCTGCTCAATTCTGTGTGTCTTTTATTATTTGAAGACGTGCAAAGCTTCCAAAATTGTGGGGTGTATATTGTGCTCATGATGAGGTATGAATCAGAGTATGTGTCTCAAAAATTAGTTGTCCAGAAATAAATTATATATGTACTGTCACGTCTGCAAGTTTTTGCTTTTTTACGCATCCGTGTGCGATGCCATTAACTTTGCCAAGTTATTACATCGAGTCGATAGGATATATGTAAGATAAAAATATGCAAAGCAACTCTTATTCATTCTAATTTTAACTAGCAATAGTCCCTTTTATTCTTCCTTTTAATTTGGCTAGTTCCCTTCTCTATTCTAAAAATAGTAATTACGTATAATACCTTTCTCTGGACTGCTTTATTTCTAGATTAATCAATACCGTATGAGTTTTCCAATAACTGTTTGACGAAGCAATTTACATAAGCCTTCAACCAATAATAATTTTAGAGCTATATTATTGAACCAATCAAATGGTATTGTAACCAAAACTAACTCGTCCTAAACACATGACACTTCGCTTCTGCACCTCCACCAGGTCTGACTGCTGCTTGCTGCTCTCTCCTTACCGCAAAGGTATCAAAAATGTAAATGTAAATGAAACAGGCATGATTAGTGCTCCAAATTATTTGTGACCACAAAATGTTTAAAATCTAAAAGATATATTATTAGGTCTGCTACGACTGCTTTTTATTAGACCTGTTACGTCTACAATCATGCTTCATACTTCAATATCCCCTGTGCGCTATATTTCCCAAATCATCATCATCATATAAATATAGATATAATAATTTATGATTAGAAAAGTTTTTGTTATATATCATTTCCAAGGAAGATAAATTCAATTAATGCGATGAATTATTTGGAATAAATTTGAGTCAGTATTTTAAATATACGTTATTTATATTTCTACTGTAGTAAAAATATTTTAAACGTATAGAATTATTATTTTAAACCGAAAAATTTTTTTATAGTAAAATAAAAAGTAAAATTTTTATATAGTAAAATAAAAAGTAAAATTTTTATATAGTAAAAATGAAAAGTAAAATTTTTACTACAATAGAAATCTAAAATAATGACTCAAATTTATGCCAATAATTCATCGCATTAATTAAATTTATATTCCTTGGAGATGATATTATAAAAAACGTTACTAATAATAAATTATTTAATTATTAGTTGGCAGCTTTAGCGCAAGTATTCGACTTTTTAAATTACGCATAATTATATATATATGTAAGATTTATTCGGGAATATTCATGTTTTTTATAAAAAATTTTTCGCATTAAACAAGAGCTTCAATGGTCTGTTTCGGCGAAACGCGTAATGGTATTTAGCCTAGTTCGACACTCAGTCATTTTTCCCTTGAAAAGCCTGTTTGAGGGTACGAGTGGGTAATTTACCATTTTCCGCTATGTAATTATTGTATTTTTGTATTTTTCAATTTTGTTTTCATTGTAATTTGCATTTATGTATTGGCATTTTTTCAGTCCATATATTTTTTATATGTATTAACTTTTCATATTTATATATTTTTTTACCGTCAATCTATTTCTATATGTGTTAACTTTCACATATCACAACGATCAGATTAATTTTTTGTGCATTAGCATGTCTCAACGTTATTTTAGGCGGTTTTTTCGCGTGTTTACAGTTTTTTTCCAGTTTTCCAGAAAAAAATTTTCTTAGTTCATATTTTAGTTAATACAGCGTTGAAATATTTCGTGAGCTACAGCTCCTGGTAACTTTTTAGCAAGATCGTTGCAATGTTTCTACCTACTACTATTATATATATATATATATATATATATCAAGCAAAGCAGTAAAAACAATTTTGGTCTCACGAGGTTTCCGGCCCCCTCCGATAATAGGAGACGAGTTACAGATAACGAAAATCACTTCGCATTGGCTAAACGCCCACAACTCTTCGCTCCCCCCTACCTACGTCATCCAAAAATAAGACGCTTAAAGTTAGCAGCCATTTTACTACATGTTTTCAGAGGGACAGCTTTACATCGCCAAGGTCAGTTTTTTGTTTCTTTTGTTACAACTTTTTCTTGGTCTTAGCAAGACCCACTGAATTGTTCTTTTCTCAATTTTTTTTTTTTTTTAAATTTTATATTGATTATTAACTACAGGTTTTCTTACAGTTTTAAAATCTACAATTTAAAAATTAAATTGTTAATCTTTAAGCTTGCAGGCCCAGCCCGAATGTATTTGTATTTTAGGACTAATAGCTCATCGCTATTTATTTTCGTTTTGATTTTAATTTTAGACTAGATTTAGAAAGTTTGATTTTGATTTACATATTTTAACACCTTAATGTGTCTTTCTAAGCGGACGCATCGGGAAATTGGAACAGAGAATTGAGACTATTAAAATTTCCAAGACACTTTGTCAAAAAATTTTTTAGCGTAAAAGTTTTCAATTGTCTGTTTCGGCGAAAACGCGTAATGGGGTTAGCTTGATTCGACGTTTCAAACATGAAATTTCCCTTGAAAAGCCTGTTTGGATATCGAATTGGGCTAATTTACCATTTTCCGCTACTTTTTAACTTTTTCTGTTATTTAATTTTATTGTATTTATGTTTACATGTCTAATGATTTGCTTTTCATGTGTATTGATTTTTGAAAACGTCTTTAACCTTTTGGAGCGGCAGCTCTTGGTAACTTTAGGCGAGCTTTCTACAATTTTTATATATATATATATATATATTGGAGAGTATATGTTGCGTAAGGCATAGAGAATGGCTGTTATTATGTATAATACTTTACAATCTTTATGTAAAAAAAAAATGGCTTCTTTCATCGCAAAATATGTTTTAAATTTTGTATTCATTCTTGTTTTATTTGCTTACATGCTGTAATAATGCAAGAACAAATTACAATTATAATTCTCTATTTTTTCTCTTTTTTTTAAGGAGGCCGTGGCTTAAGTCATCAGAGTACCAAAAATAACAACAGTTCTTTGTCTCAGAGTTCATATCTAAATCCTTACGGCACACATTTTCCAGCAGGCAATGGAACGCAGACAACTCAGAATCCTTACAATTACAGTATGTTAAATTATTTAATTCAGTTATGCTTTTTTTTTAGTACCTTTCATGTAAAATAACTGTGAGGTAACTAAAATAAATTTATTTCGATTATGTATTCTAATTAGTGAAAGGGAATAAAGTTTTTAGAACGGAAAAACACTTTACAAAGTTGAATTTATTTAAGAGATTCTTCTAACATAAATTACTTAAGCTGATGTAATAAAACCAGAAGAAACATAATCTGTAAGTACAGAATGAAGCATATGGAAAATTCAAGAATTACGGACCGTTTTAACATTATTAATCACTAATAATCAATCTTATTCAAGAAATCAGAAGAATTAAGCATTTAATCCTCCATAGGACTAATGGATATAGTATTTTGAATCCCAATGAATAAAAATAAAAATAAAAAAATCTGAAAGCTTTTAGATTTTATATTACGCCCAAAGGGACTTTTTTTTTTTAACGTCTTGTAGGTTACCTTTATTTACTAAATATCATGTTCTTAGGACTTAAACCACAAAATTCAGCTCAAGAGCAATATCACAAAATCATTGTAAAATGAGTATAGCTTTAGAATTTCCGATACACAGTCTCGCGAGCTGGATATAATTTTTTTTTTTTTTTTTTGGTACAACGTTGCATTTGCTCGATTTGAAATCCTTGGGATTGTTAATCAAAATTCGTTAAAGTTTTACAAAATATAAAATATGAAATCGATTATAAAACAAATTCCATATGACCATATTCGGATGGAAACGTACGTTATAAAAAATTTGATGCTCTGGGTACCGTTGTTTATCACGGTGCGAGAACCATACATACATTTGTGCAGATTCTTCATGATTTAATTTGTTTCAATAGTATAATACAGGGCGATAATATTTGGTGGCAACAATTTGAAAAGTGCTTCAGACTTTTAAAGTTTCGACGCAAAATGGCAAAACGAAATTAATAGCCCTTCTGGGCTAAGGTTCTTTGGGCTAATAATGTCATACAGAAAAACATATCATATTAAAGTTGTTGAGGACTTTGCACTTTGAAAGACCTTTGCAATTCGGAATCAAAGATTTATTGCAGTGCTATTTAAGGATAATGAATTAAAACTAAGTATTCTGATTCTTTTTGTAATTATATGTTTCGTAAAGTAATAGAAGAATGCAAAGTATAGTACGATACATTATTAATTTGACAATTCTCATGCATAGGATTTCTCCCGCCTTCTTAACGTGCCTTCGTGGTGTGGTGGTCTGCAATCTCTCTTGCTTCCAAACATCCTAATGTCTGTACAATAGTACAGATGGATAATTGTTAAATTCCAATGAAGGGAATGCAGTCTCTTTAACTCACTGCCAAATAAATGATTTACAGAAGAATTTTTTTTTCCCTACATATGCGGGGTTTCAAAAATCTTCTGCTCGCTCAAAAACTAAAACGATTATTAAATTTTTTTAAACGGAAAGACTTGTGAAGGAATCGATAGTTCAAGTAGAGATAAAAGAGAATTTTGGATAACAGTTATAAGTTTTTATCTGAAACAGTTACAGAACAGCGAGATACATATTTGAAACAGTGCAAGGTAAAAAAATAACTGACACGGCTCAAGAATTTTCATATATTAACTGAAAACGCCGCTCTGAACGTTATATGAAATGGAAAAAGGTTATAATTTAATTGAAAAAAAAGTTTATTTTAATGCATTTAGGTTTTTAAAAGAAATTGAACTTTATCGTTCAGGCTGATCTGATTTTAATAGTTTTGTAGGAACGTACTCTCTTTGGCTACATAAAGTCTACGAGATCCTACTGAGGAACCTAGCGACTTCTCTCACAGGCATAAATGATAACAACACAGAAGAAGGGTAAAAATAACCCTTTATTATTATCAACTATGAACAGAAAGGCATGTACTTCATGCTTTACAATAACACCGACAACTTGCGGTGGAACTTAAGAATAGTTACACAATAAATTTAAGGCTAAAGAGTAGTGCTGGACTAGCACAAGTTAAGGCTAATTAGGCTGACTCGACAACCTACCCGGCGTGATAATTATTAAAATGACCAAAAAGGCATATTAACAACTCTGCGAACAGCAAAGACAGACTCCTAACTTGCGCTGGCCAGCCAAAACACGCTCTGAATAAACTCCAAGATTCACCCTTTTAAATACTCACTTTAAATCTGCATTCTGGCGAAGAAAGGCGAAGGGAAGTTGAGGAGTTCAGAAAAGATAACAGAAATTTTAATAATTGCTTAATTTAACTAATTGAAACCCTGCAGTTATAATTCATTTCATGTATTTAGACTTTAGTAAGTACGAATTTAATACGTGAAATCATCTTGAGATTTTAATTCATTGATTCATCATAACATTGAACTCTCAGAAAATTATTTTACTATTTATGTGATTATTTTATTGTATATGTTGACAGTATGTACCCTTTTCACCATTTGTTTGACGCCTTATAGCCTTTTAAGACTATAACTCTGTCAATTCCTTTATTCTGTTCCTTTCCTGTAATTATCATACAGATATGAAAATCCCTTACAATGCAGATACAAAGGTATTCGACGATTGATTAAGATTTCAGTTGTTGTAATTCAAATACACGGAATCTTAATTTTTATTTGGAACTTGATACAAACTTGCCATTACGTGTTGTACTTAAAGGAGTTTATAATAACTTGTCTGTTGAAAAGTTTCTTTAAAATTAAATCCGTTTCAAATTTATGCATAAAGTGGAATTAATTTATTGGAAGAAACATTTTGTATTAATTTGAGTCCCGAACAGTTCAAAAAACTTTTATTAATTAAACATTTACTAGCGCTTAATTTGTTACCAATCAGAGTTATCTCCTATTGAGCTTTATTCAATGGTAAATATTATAAAGCGTATTTTATTAAATTCATCACGCTTTATTAGTATGTCTGAAAGCTTTCAGATTTTAAATTACGCTCAAAGGGGATATTTTTTAACGTTCTATGTGTTACTTTATTTAACAAATATCATATTCTTCGCACTTAAATTATAAAATTCAATTCAACAGCAATATCAAAAAATAATTTTAAAATGAGCAATCTTTAGAATTATCGATACACAGTCTGATGCGCTGGAGATAATTTTTCCCCGTACAGAATTGCCATTGCTTCCTTTGAAATTGTTGAGTTTATTAATCAAAAATTCGTAAAAGTTGTACAAAATATGAAGTAGATAATAAAACAAATTTGGGCTTTATATGTCCATATTCGATTGGAGGATTAAGTTATTCAAAATTTGATGTCTGTAGGTACCGCTTATTTTTTCACAGTGAGAGAAACATCCATACATTCCTGCAGAATCTTCATTATTTAATTTCTTTAAATAAAATGCAGGCGTCTAATATTTGGTGGCAACAATTTGGAAAATGAAGCTCCGTTTATAGAGAACCAACGCAAAATACCAAAACGAAATTAATAACCTTTCTGGGTAAATTGTCCCTTTGTGTTAAAAAGTTGCTTTTGTAATTTTGATGACCAATTTGTAATAGAGTTTCAAAAAATATCTTATTTAACAATAGCAGTAAGTATTTCAAAACCCATATATGGCTGTTATAATTGCCAAAGAAAATGCGGATACGTTCTGCATATAAGAAAATGTTTTTAACAAATAAAGTACCTTGCGCGAGAGGTGATTCACGATGAAAAACTATTTTAATATCAAAAACGATTTTTCATGATACACTGGAAATAATTTTTCATCTAGAATTAATATAGAATTTCATCTAGAAATCTAAATGCGTATTCAGCACTCGACGAGCTCTACTCGTCTATGCTTGATGATTTTTGCTTCTTTATCTCTGGTTAGTCGAGAATGTACCCATGGTAGCATAAAATCATGGGCTTTTTTACGTATTCTGAGCTCGGAAAACGGGAAGACTGAAGCTTCTCAAACACTTCGACAAATTTAATTCCCTCGCATTTGGATGCACCTTTAACACCTGCTTCACAGAAAGCTTCATTTTATGTCAGTTTCTCATTGCATATCAACGTGATACTTTGTGGAAGCTACAGAAGCATAATGTGATGGTGTAGAACGGTCAGTAATGGAATAGCAAGAAAATTAGTAAATGATATGGACTATTTATCATGCGATATTCTGTGATAATTAATTGTGTTTTAAAACAAGTAATATAAAAAAAATGTAAATTCTTACTTAAGTCAAAAAAGAAAATTTTTATTTTAGGTACTTTTTATTAACATTTTTTCGTTTCTAATTTATGAAACTGATGGTGGTCCATAATTTCTTATTCTGTCCATCTCTTGTAATGCTTCATTATTGCAAGGACCTTACCAATGAGCTTCGAGCAGTCCAGTTCTTCAATTAATATTCCAGGTAATGATTTCACACGACTCAAGGCGACATATGCTTGACCCGCTGCGAAGAGTTTCCGTCCTAGATATATAACTGCATAATCTACAGTGCCCTTTATTTATTTTAATAAGCAAGGGACATTTTAAAAGGTTATATTTTAAACATATATTATTATCCCGTTAACATAGAAATATTGGGAGAATTTTCGCTCCATTAATGGGACATTACATCCGCTTCATCCAACGCTATAAAACTACAATTCTTTAATTCCATACACTTTAAAAATCTTTAGAGCTCTGTGTTTCTGTTGCCACTTATTTTTGTTAAATATTACAGTCCCATTTATCACAGTCACGTGCTATTATTTATAAGTTGTTATAAATTTAATTTTTACAGCACGTGAGAATTCCTAATAACGGCCATTATTTGTATGTCTTATAATATATTTAAAAAACAGCATATCTTTAGTTCCGATAAACAGGAATAATTAAGTAGCAATTGACTTTAATATGTGAAAAAACTGTATTAACGTCAAGTGTCATCCACTACAAGTTTAAAAAATGTACTTGAACTTGAGTGGATGAATAAAAAAGTATTTTATTAACGATTGAAAATTTGAAAAAGATATAGGGAGAGTGTGGTATAATAGAAGGAATTTAAAA